GGGCGCTGGCAAGTCGACTTATCAGACCTGTTAAGTCGACTTATGAACTCTTCTCCAGTTGTCGTTTTTCGCTCTGCCAAGTCGACTTATGCAGACTGATAAGTCGACTTACGACGGGTTTTTTGGAAAGTTCAGGTTCCTATTTGCAGTTTGTTTGGGTTTCTGTTTTGGTATAAATACCAATACGATTTGAGGGTTTTGTTGGAGCATATTTGGGGATTTTGGAGCACAGAAAAGAGAGATCTTTCTGAGCTATTGGTTAGGGTTATTGGTTGAGAGGTTGAGAGATTTGTTGGTGAGATTAGTTGGTTCGTTTGAGCGATTTGTAATCTCAATTTGTACTCTCCTTCTCTATTAGTGGAAACCCTCCCCCTTCTTGCCCCGTGGACGTAGACAATTGCCGAACCACGTTAAAATTGGTGTTTGGGTTTGTGCATTGATATTTGGTTGTTTTTGGCCTTCTTTGATCGGCGTTTGTTTTGGTTCCTCGGCACCGCTGTTTGTGCACAACAGACGTACACTATGCAAGTGCATTTTTTACCAGAGTTCTCCGGATAGAAATTTAACTTTGCGATCACGTGCATCTGCACGAGCCGAAGTCACGTGACTTTTTAGTCTACTCCCTCCAGACTCTAAGGGGTGTTTGTTTGCATGCAAGTGAAAGATAAAAGTGAGAAAGTTACTTTCATTTAACAATTAAGATGTTTGTTTTTATGTAAGTGGTTATGAAAGTGAGATGTAAAAAAATTACCATATATGATTTAATGTAATTTTGATTTTCCCTAAAAAAATGATGAAGTCACATGAAAGTGACAAAAATGTAACTAATTTAATTAAATAATTTAATTATACTTTCTAATTAATCTTATTTTGTCACGTCATCTTCACATTGCATTTTCGATAATAATTTAATTTTCCAAACAAAATGTACTTCACTTGTGTGCTGATATGAATGTAAAAATTATTTGTAAAAAAATTAAATTATATATTTTAAATTCACTTTGAGATTGACAAACACCTCTAACCCTCACCGTGATCTACCTACTCCCTCCAGGCTACTCGTAACTTAAAAAGAAGAAAAAAGGGAGAGAAAAATAAAATATTACACGCGCAGCTCGTGCCATAGGAACGCATTATTGTAACTTAAAGGAGAGGAACAAATAGTATTACACGCGCAGCTCGTGCCCTAGAAACAAATTGTTTAATAGGGCACGTGTTTCTGGATAAATTATATTTATATTTGTGATAGGACCTGACTTCGAATATATGGACAAGAGGGCGAAAGTTTGGTGGAAACTATTATGATTTAGGGCTAATTTGTTATTGTTTTTTAAGTGTTTCTGCTTTTTTTTTAAGAAGTACCCAATAATAATGTTCGGTAAAAAAATTCCGCATACTTATTGAAATTGCTTCTACTTTTAAAGGGATGCTTTTAGAAGTAACTTGATACTTTTAAAAGTAATTTATGTTTTTTTAGTTTATATATCATATATATCTTTTATCTTTTAACAATGATCATTAAACATTGTTCTACCAAACACAGTAGCTGTTTTTAAGCTATTTTTGATATTTAATTTTCAAACGACTATTAGCAGCTTATACAAGTTGCTTTTATAAGCTACTTCCGTAAACAATTTACTATAAGCTTCAGTTATACCAAACTGGCCCTTAGTCCATGTCACAAAACTTTTGCAAGCAATAATTGTGGTACCCATACTCAGTCTATTTTTTATCTCTAGTAAAAAAAATTAAATGAGAAAGTTGAATTATTCAAAAGGTAAAATTACAAAAAACTCTTCTAGTATTTGCATAATTCCTTGGAAACGCGACAGTTTGATCCTCCGTTTCAATTTCTTCAAAATTTATTTGGATATAGAATAGAAAGCTATAGTGATGGAATATGACAATTACTTATAATAGGCATATACATGATCATATATGTTAAGACTATGTCCTGAATCCTCATTAGTACTAAAGCTACAAATTTGTGGTTGAATAAAAACATACATAACTGAAATAAGGAAAAAAAATGCTTCCAGCCCCCAAAAGCCAAGAAAACATGCTTCCCACCTCCAAGATTTTATCAATGGGTGTTTTACCCCCAAAAATAAAGAGTTTGTTCTCTGAGCCCCCAAAACACAAAACCCAAGAGATTAAAATATGTGAAGACCATAATACCCTTCTCTTTCTCTCTCTCTCTCTCTCTTTATCATGATGTACTAAGATGATAGTTAAAATAACTGACGGAGATTATTTTATTTTTTTTATTTTTTATTATTTTCGTTGTTGATGAGGGGGAACTAACTGTTTGTATTGGGAGATTGTTAAAGTTAGGGGTTAATTTTTAAGGTTACGATTTAATTGTTAAGGTTACAAGTTAATTGTTAAGGTTATGGATCCCTTCTCTCTCTCTCTCTCTTTATCATGATGTTACTGTGATGATCTTGAAATGATTGAAGGGAATTGTTATTTTATTATTTCTTTGTTGATGAGGAAATTAATTGTTTTTATTTGTATTGAGAGATTGTTAAGGTTACGGGTTTAATTGTTAAGGTTACGGGTCAATTATTAAGGTTACGGGTTTAATTGTTAAGGTTACGGGTCAATTGTTAAGGTTACGGGTTTAATTATTAAGGTTATAGGTTTAATTATTAAGATTACGGGTCAATTGTTAAGGTTGCGGGTCAATTGTTAAGGCTACGGATTTAATTGTTAAGGTTACGAGTTTAATTGTTAAGGTTACGAGTCAATTATTAAGGTTACGGGTTTAATTGTTAATTAAGGTTACAGGTCAATTGTTAAGGTTACGGGTCAATTGTTAAGGTTACGGGTCAATTGTTAAGGTTACGAGTTTAATTGTTAAGGTTACGGGTCAATTGTTAAGGTTACGGGTTTAGTTGTTAAGGTTATAGGTTTAATTGTTAAGGTCACGGGTTTAATTACATGTTAAAGTTACGGGTCAATTATTAAGGTTACGGGTTTAATTGTTAAGGTTACGGGTCAATTGTTAAGATTACGGTTTAATTATTAAAGTTACGGGTTTAATTGTTAAGGTTATGAGCTTAATTGTTAAGGTTACGGGTCAATTGTTAAGGTTACGGGTCAATTGTTAATGTTACGGATTTAATTATTAAGATTACGAGTCAAATTGTTAAGGTTATGGATCCTTTCTCTCTCTCCCTCTCGAACCTTAACAATTAAACCCGTAACCTTAACAATTAAACCCGTAACCTTAACAATTGTCCCGTAACCTTAACAATTAAACCCGTAACCTTAACAATTAAACCCATAACCTTAACAATTGACCCATAACTTTAACAATTAAACCCGTAACCTTAACAATTAAACCCGTAACCTTAATAATTAAACCTGTAACCTTAACAATTGACCTGTAACCTTAACAATTGACCCGTAACCTTAACAAGTAAACCCGTAACCTTAACAATTAAACCCATAACCTTAACAATTGACCCGTAACCTTAACAATTGACCCGTAACCTTAACAATTGACCCGTAACCTTAACAATTAAACCCGTAACCTTAACAATTAAACCCGTAACGTTAATAATTGATCCGTAACCTTAACAATCAAACATGTAACATTAACAATTAAACCTGTAACCTTAACAACTGACCTGTAACCTTAACAATTAAACCGGCCCGTAACATTAACAATTAAACCCACAACCTTAACAATTGACCCGTAACCTTAACAATTGACCCGTAACCTTAACAATTAAACCCGTAACCTTAACAATTAAACCCGTAACGTTAATAATTGATCCGTAACCTTAACAATCAAACATGTAACATTAACAATTAAACCTGTAACCTTAACAACTGACCTGTAACCTTAACAATTAAACCGGCCCGTAACATTAACAATTAAACCCGCAACCTTAATAATTGACCCGTAACCTTAACAATTAAACATGTAACCCTAACAATTAAACCTGTAACCTTAACAATTGACCCGTAACCTTAACAATTAAACCCGTAACCTTAACAATTAAACCCGTAACCTTAACAATTGACCTGTAACCTTAACAATTGACTCGTAGCCTTAACAATTAAACCCGTAACTTTAACAATTGACCCGTAACCTTAACAATTGACCCGTAACATTAACAATCTCCCAATACAAACAAAAACCTTTAGTTTCCTCATCAACAATAAAAATAATAAAAATAAAAATAATAAAATAACAATCCCATTCAATCATTTCAAGATTATCACAGTAACATCATGATAAAGAGAGAGAGAGAGAGAGAGAGAGAGAGGATCCATAACCTTAATAATTGACCAGCAACCTTAACAATTAACCCCTAATTTTAACAATCTCCTAATACAGTTAGTTCCCCTCATTAACAACGAAAATAATAAAAAATAAAAATAATAAAATAATCCTCGTCGGTCATTTCAACTATCATCTCAGTATATCATGATAAAAAGAGAAAGAGAGAGAGAATGGTATTATGGTCTTTACATATTTTAATCTCTTGGGTTTTGTGTTTTTGGGGCTCAGAGAACAAGCTCTTTATTTTTGGGGACAAAACATCCGTTGACAAAGTCTTGGGGGGTGGGAAGCACGTTTTCTTGGCTTTTGGGGGCTGGAAACATTTTTCCCTTGAAAAAAATTGTTAAATCGTTTGCAAATACACGTTAGGTAAATTTCTCAGTTATTATGAACCATTAAAGATTTTGTATACTTTTATCCAAAAATATTGGTTAAAAAAGTATCACCATACTGTCAGAAAATCATCCAACAAAGTCAAATGTGTTAATTAAATTAAATTTATATTATTCCTAATAGTTCATAATAGTCTTGTGAGCTTTACCGAATGTTTAAATAAAATAATACGATTCAGTTATTACCCAAATGTTTTCATATATGTATTTGTCGAGAATAGAAAATTGAGGCTCAGCTAATTGTGCAAAATTAAGGAAAAAGAATATCTCTGTCAAGTAAAGCTCAGCTCATAGCGCATTGGGCTTCCAACTAAGCAAGAATGGACGCAACCACAATCTCATTATTTCCTTCGACTTCAACAGAAAGCAACTACAATCACCTCCACGCCATTGCGGGGAAACGACGCTCACACCTCACGTACAGGCTGTTAATTATTTGGAAGATGATTGTAATTTATCATCATCATAAGTGCTAGATTTAAAACAATCACAACCATCTACTGATTAAACAATTGATAACTGTGAATAAAAATAGCGATCTCCTTGCTACTTCAGATTAGATGACATAATCATTTATGAAATGGTTCGCCGTTACCAAGTGCGCTGATGTCATCCACCAAACGATCAACATCCCGGTACGACGACCCACCCTCCTCCACCGCCGCCTTCGCCATCGCTGCATGCACTCTCACTCTCTCCCTCCTCTCCCCCGCCTCTTTCTCCTCCCCCATCACATCCTTCACGGCCTCCGTTATCTCCTCCGCCTTCACTACCTCCTTCCCTTTTCTCTCAATCCTCACTCCGATCTGCAGTATCTCAGTTATCAGCTTCTCATTCAAGAACTGATCGTACTCAACCGGCCACGTCACCATCGGCACCCCCGCACACACACTCTCCAGCGTCGAGTTCCATCCGCAATGCGTCAAGAACCCTCCAACTGCCGGGTGGTTCAATATCGCAACCTGCGGGGCCCATCCTCTGATCACCAACCCCGTCCCCTTCACCCTCTCCTCGAACCCCGTCGGCAGCAGTTCTTGATCCTCCCTTTTGCTGTTCTTGACCGCCCACACGAAGTTGTGGCCCGAGTTTTCAAGGCCGACAGCGAGCTCTCGCAGCTGCTCGTCCGAGAACTCGTTCAGGCTACCGAATGACACGTACAAGACCGAGTCTCTCTCCTTGGAATCCAACCATTCTGTAGTCGAATTCGTTACTCCTTCATTTATTTCCTGGCGACGGTTGGACAGCGACGCCGGGCCGACGTAGTACGCTCTTCGCCCTGGTTTCCTCCTGTAGTGATCGGCGAAATCGCGCTCGAGCTCGTAGAAGCTGTTGACTATAACTCCGTAACTCTTGTCTTCCCCTTCTCTAAGCATATTTATCGTAAAGTCACTCAACTGCGCTGAAACCTCGCGCTTCGTCATCCGGATATGAAGAGGCAAGCCCTCCACAACAAAAGGTTCGGAATCGCTCCACGACTTGAGACGAGGGAGTTGCCCCTCGAGGCTCTCGTTAACGCAGTGGACGAAAATGCCCGGCCCGTAGAAGGCGAGCCTGGGCACGCCAAGTGCTGCAGCGGTGTCAGCGGTCCACGCGAACATCGCATCGGAGATTACGCAGTCGGGGCGAGCACCGAGGATGAATTCGGAGAAGGGGCCTTTGAGGGCCGTGAAGGCATGGAAAAAGCTTAAGTAGTCGGAGGAGGGAATCGAGGCGAGGTTCTCCTTGCCGTTCGGGAGGAGGTGGTGAACTGAAGGAGGGAATGGGATGAGGACGAGATCGATGGTGATGGAGTTAGCCGCGGCATTGAAACTGTCGATGGTTGGTCGAACGAAAGGCTCGTTGCCGGGGGTGGTGATGATTGAGGCGGCGACGCCACGGCGGGCGAAGAGTTTCGCAATGTCGAGCATTGGGATCAAGTGGCCTGGAGTCATGAAAGGGATGAAAAAGATGCGCGGGGGCTGTTGAGCTCGCATGGAAGCCATTGATCTCGGTTCTAGTGATGCCTTGTGTGAGAACAAAACTAAGAGATAAAACAAGACAGGACGACTTTCGTGATATGCTTTGTTGTAAGTCTAATAAACACATATATATACTTATGAACGATTTGTTCGAAAAATTATAAGGACAGCGAGGCGTGAACATTTTCTTTAAAAGAAATATTTGCCCTATTTGATATTCAAAGTTGTTTCGGGTTAATGTAAATTTTCTTCTCAGGATACAACAAAAAATAAAAATTTCAGCAAGCAAATCTAAAAATTTTCACTAATTCGTTATAAAACAAGTTTGTAGTATTGCAGATATTTTTTACAGAAAAGTTTTGAAAAAGAAGTGAAGTTTAAAATATCTGAAATCATAAACTATTTATAGGTTTGAAAATGTGCTTCCAATAGTCATAACTTTTCAAAACACCTCTTAGAGCAAACAGACACTTGTATATATTATTCGCGCTACCCGCACATGGGTTTAGAAGCATGTATTTTGATCCATTTATCAAAACCCAATAATCATTAAATGCTTTTAAACCTCTAAAAGGATGCCCAAATATCTGGTGTGAGGCTATCTTGTTTTTACAAACAAATACTAACATGATTATTATATTTAGGTGCCGTTTGATAATGGGTTAAATGAGGTATTAAAGAGACTTAACCCCTTCTTAACTCAATAAACAAAAAAACCTATAAAAGAGTTAAAGTGAGTTAACCCCCTATAATTTACCAAATGCAAAAAAAAAAAAAAACATAATGGTTAACCCCTCCATAAGGATTAAAATGAGAATGAGGAGTTTGCTAACACACCTATTTAGAAGGATTCAGTATTAACCCCTCTATTTATAAAGAAAATAGTCAAAATTCACGTTATTCCCGAACACTAAAACTAATCACAATGACTGAAATAATACTTATTTAACGGGTGTACAATTTAGTCTTTCAGATTATCAACTAGACTAACGACTTTAATCTTTATATTTAATCCCTCTTCCGTAACCCTTTAACAAACGGGACCATAAGGAATTTATCCGGTCCATGGCCAAAGGCCCAAAGTCCCAGTCTAAATTTATACTTACAGAGGTTTATTTGATGTAGGACGCTTAATCTGAGTTGGAGTCTATTTAGATTAGGAAATATAAATTAGAAAATAAATTCAATTTTAAAGTCAAATTAGATTAGGAAACAAAATCATTTTTGATTCATGATTTGTTTCCTCTATTATAAGGAGTCTTTTTAGGATAGAATTTAACACTTTCTTTTTTGTATAATTCTAGTCTTACTAGGAGTCTTATTTGATACTTTTTATTTTTATAATTCTAGTCTTACTAGGAGTCTTATTTGTTTTTCTATTTAAGAAAATTCATGTAACCCCAAAAGAGAATAACTTTTCATCAATAAAATTTCTCTTTTTAATATTTTCTTTGTGGATTCGAAGTTCTTCGTGGATTCAAAGATCGTTCTTTATGGATTCAGAGAACACCCTTAGTGGATTCCGAGGTTATCACTTTCGTGCTGCGTCAATTGGTACCAACTGATGCAGGACGCTTAATCTGAGTTGGAGTCTATTTAGATTAGGAAATATAAATTAGGAAATAAATTCAAATTTAGAGTCAAATTAGATTAGGAAACAAAATCAATTTTGATTCATGATTTGTTTCCTCTATTATAAGGAGTCTTTTTAGGATAGAATTTAACACTTTCTTTTTTGTGTAATTCTAGTCTTACTAGGAGTCTTATTTGATACTTTCTATTTTTATAATTCTAGTCTTACTAGGGGTCTTATTAGTTTTTCTATTTAAGAAAAGTCATGTAACCCAAAAGGAGAATAACTTTTCATCAATGAAATTTCTCTTTTCAATATTTTCTTCATGGATTCGAAGATCGTTCTTTATGGATTCAGAGAACACCCTTGATGGATTCTGAGATTATCACTTTTACGTTACGTCAATTGGTATCAACTGATGTAAAACGCTTAATCTGAGTTGGAGTCTATTTAGATTAGGAAATATAGATTAGGAAACAAAATTAATTTTAGAGTCAAATTAGATTAGGAAACAAAATCAATTTTGATTCATGATTTGTTTCCTTCATTATAAGGAGTCTTTTTAGGATAGAATTTAACACTTTCTTTTTTTTGTAATTCTAGTCTTACTAGGAGCCTTATTTGTTTTTCTATTTAAGAAGATTCATGTAACCCCAAAGAAGAATAACTTTTCATCAATAAAATTTCTCTTTTCAATATTTTCTTTGTGGATTCGAAGATCGTTTTTTATGGATTCAGAGAATAACCTTAGTGGATTCCGAGGTTATCACTTTCGCGCTGCGTCAATTAGTATCAACTGATGTAGGACGCTTAATCTGAGTTGGAGTATATTTAGATTAGGAAATATAGATTAGGAAATAAATTCAATTTTAGAGTCAAATTAGATTAGGAAACAAAAATTAGGAAATAAATTCAATTTTAGAGTCAAATTAGATTAGGAAACAAAATCAATTTTGATTCATGATTTATTTCCTCTATTATAAGAATCAATTTTGATTCATGATTTATTTCCTCTATTATAAGGAGTCTTTTTAGGATAGAATTTGACACTTTCTTTTTTTTGTAATTCTAGTTTACTAGGAGTCTTATTTGATACTTTTTATTTTTGTAATTCTAATCTTACTAGGAGTCTTATTTGTTTTTCTATTTAAGAAGAGTCATGTAACCCCAAAGAAGAATAACTTTTCATCAATAAAATTTCTCTTTTTAATATTTTCTTCGTGGATTCGAAGTTCTTCGTAGATTCGAAGATCGTTCTTTGTGGATTCAGAGAACACCCTTAGTGGATTCCGAGGTTATCACTTCCGTGCTGCGTCAATTGGTATTAGAGCATTGTTCCTCCGATCGAATGGTAGGAGATGAAGCCCCTATTTCCTAAACTGAGTTTAACATGCTGAAGACCAGCGTTAATTAGATGAAGACTGTCGTAGAGCGACTTGCGTCGGCAGTGGAGCGTCTAAACACGAGAGGAGTTTAAAATCACGTTAATGGTCGCCAGCAACATGATTCAACTCTACATGATGAATTCAACAGCGACAATGACCCTAAGCAATACCTTAGAGTTAGGAAGAGCACTAAAGATGCAATAAAGAAAGAAGAATCACCTCTAGAGCATAATATCTTCCGCACGAGGTGCATTGTGATGCAGAAGATTTGTGATGTTATTATTGACAATCACAGTAGAAAGAATCTTGTCTCTCGGCGCATGGTAGAGAAATTAGGTTTAAAGATGGAGAAACACCCTGCTCCCTATAAGATCGGTTGGATTCGTAAGGGTAATAACGTGCAGGTTGATTAGGTGTGTCGGGTATCTTTTTCCATTGCCTGAACTTATGTTGATGAGGCATTGTGTGGTGTAATTAAGATGGATGCTTGTCATATGCTGCTAGGCAGGCCATGACAGTTTGATGTTGATGCCACGCATAAAGGGAAGGATAACATTTATATCTTTAAGAAGGATGGTCGACGAATTGTGCTCAAGCCTCTAACCAAGAAGGGACCTGTCAAAACTTATGTTGCTGAAAAGAAGACTTTTTTGGTCGTTGACAATGAAGACTTTATGAAAAATGTGAAGCAGTCTAATGAGGTTTATGCTCTTATTATCTCGGGAAAAGAGGATTATGTTGGTCTTTTTGTTTTGATGATGTTTAACAAATAATTTACCACTAATGTTGTTTGTCTAGTATTTGTGTTTATTTATTTATTGTAGACAAACAACAAGTTAGAGGATGGATGGAATCGAGCATTCACGATCATATCAAATGGAGGTTGGTGGAATTGTAGAGTGAAGTCTATGCAATTTAAGTTAAAGATTCAAGTTTAAGCTTCATCCGCAAGTATACCAAGATAGAGCTTCGTTGAAGATCACAAGCTTGGGTATATTTACTTTAGGTTTATATTATGTGTGTTGATACTTTAAGCTCAATTATATACACACATACACGTTTTGATTTTTGTATATATATAGTTATATATATACATATATATTTTAGTTTGATAGTTTTTAAGTTTTAATATGAAACAATTAAATATAATTAGAAAATATATTTTTGTTTCATACTTACATGCATATATATGATTTTATCAATGTCAATTTTATTTAGTTTAATGAAATCATATTTACTTTTGAAATGTTCGCAAAATATGTAATTTTGTAAAAATATTATTTTCTTGGTTTATGGACTTAATAACAATTATATATATCTTTTATTAAGTCTATATAATCATTTTGTAAAGTTTTAAAACATGATTAAACTAAAATGTCAAAACTCATATGTTTATATTTTCATGTTTTGGACTATTTTGCAAAATGATGATATTTTATAAATACGAAATGCAATTTGAGAAATTCCTTTTGTAACATGTTCATTTATATGTTTATATACATTTCCCCAAGTTTTATTATTTTTGGACATCATTTGTTATATTTAACAAATTTTCAAAATCAACAAAAACAGGTTCAAAACCTGAATATTTTCAGTATCTGTCTGCGGTCGACCGCCCCTGAGTCCAGAGACTCAGAAATTTTTTCAGAGGCTCGCGATCGACCATGACAGTTGACTGGATGTTCTCACGGTCGACCGGATGTTCTCATGGTTGACCGTCACGGTCGACCGACTGATGTCCAGAGACTTTTCTTTGTTTTTTTGTTGCTCGCGGTCGACCGCGATTTTCCCACGGTCGACCGCCGATCGCCCAATGGTCATTTTTGTACAGAATCTGATTTTTGATTTTGTGGGCTTTTTGGTCTTTTCTGTTGGGTTTTTGGCTAAAGTTTTGGGAGGCTATAAATACCCCCTTGCTCTCATCCTTCACAGCAACGAAGAGAATGTTTTAAGGAAGTTTTAAAAGAGTTTTAGTTTGTTTTAAGTTTGGGATTGTTGTTTACAAAGGAGGAAGCTTACGTTACAAATTGAGGGATTCATTCTCAATCTTATTCATCCTCTCCTTTGTGTTTATAGAAAAGTTTTTCTAACTCTTTTCTCTAGCAATTTTATTATTGATTTTCATATTCTTATTATTGCTAGTTTGCTATTTGAGTTAGATTT